AAAAAACTCTGCTCTGGAGTTGTGTGACTGCGCAGGGTCCTGCAGTTCTCAGGGTGTCTGGGGGCCCCTCCGCCCCTTCTCTCTGGAGTCTGAAAGTGTGCAAACGCTCAGCAATTCTGGGGTCTGAACGGCTGTCTTCCCTTCTCGACTGTTTTGATTTGCACCCACCTCATTATCCTCAACATGATTTCATTGGAAAGAATACCAACTCTTCAAACCAATAAAAGCAGGAGCTATGACCTTTTATTTCCCTTTATATACTATGGAATTTCCTAAGGATGCGCGGAGCTAATTCCAGGCCACTCCAACCTTGCTGGCCCTGAGGAAACCACAAACCGGTGGCGCACCTGAGAGCAGGGATTTGTGAATTTAGCGCTGCTGAAGTTGAATCCTACTGGCCGGGCTGATATTAGCATTAGTTGATCTGTCTTGGCCTTTCATTGACAAAGAATGGAAAACTGAAGTGTACATGATAAAATTTGAGATATTTAAGTGTTTTTCAAGCTGAATGTTCAAAATCCCTTGCTTTCCCCGTGTGGGAGGCAAAATTTCTAGGAATAGGCCACCAGGAGCTCAAGCCCCAAAACCCTTCAACCCCGGAATGGGAGATCTCACCCGTGTGTTTGTGTTATGCTTATGGCACAGGTGACCTGCAAAAGGGGAGTTATCCAGGTGGGCCTAATCTAGTCAAGTGAACCTTGAAAACTAGAGAAATTTCTCCACCTGGTGGCAGAAGAGGAAGACAGAAGGGGACATCAGGGAGATTCTAAGCATGAGACAGATTCCACACATCATTGCTGGCTTGAAGATGGAAGGGGCCACGTGAAGAGGAATGTGGGTGGCGTCTAGAAGTTAACAGTGGCCCCCAGCTGACAGCCAGCAAAAAAAACGGAGACCTCAAACCTACAGCCACAAAGAACTGGATTCTGTCAACAACCTGGAGTATCATGGAAGCAGATAAGAGCCCAGCTGATTGACATCTTGATTTTGGCCTTGTGAGACCCTAAGCGGAGAACCCAGCTGAGCCCATGTGGTCTTCTGACCTACTGAACTGTGAGATCATGAATGGGGTTGATTTTAGCTGCTAAGTTTGTGGTAATCTGCTATACAGCAATAGAAAATGAATTTTTTTGTGTGTCCACTAAGTTCACACACTCAGGTGAATTACTTGTCCTTCTTGAGCCTATAGAACCTGCCTCACTGAGTTTTTATGAAGATTAAATGGGATCCACATAAAGTGTTTACTGGAGACCCTGGTGCTCGGCAGGGCCTCAATCACGCTCCCTCTCCACAGGTGTATTTATATGGTTCCCAATGTCCCCTAAATATAGAGCTTCCTGTGTATTATTGCACAGTACCAGGGACATCGTAGGTGCTCAATACATGCGCAGTGGATCGTATACACAAACAGTATTCATCAGATCGTCATGTTCATCAAATATTTATGCATTGGGAAATGAACATATTACAAAAATGTATAGAAAGTAGTCTCTGTCCTCAAGCTGCCTAAAACTTTGTAGGGGGAATTATGTGAACAAAGTCTTGCAATACAATGTTATTTGTGCTAGTACTTACCAAATGCCGAGGCCACAGCACCTTCCCACCCCAAAAGGAGGAGTGAGTTCTCAAGCGGACATGAGGGGTGAGAGCACGCCAGGCAGAGCGGGTGCAGAGGAATCTGCAGTGACGAGGGACTGGAGGGAGGTCTGTTTGGGTGGAGCACAGGGGGCCTGAGTGGAGTATGCTGGACGGTGGAGCTCATACATTAAGCTGAGGACACACTGCGTTTCGTGCCAATGGGTTTGGGCTTCGCGCTTCTGGCTCTGGGGAGCTTTCAGCGGGCTTTTGGCAGACTAATCTGATCAGATTTGTCTACTAAAAAGGAAACACTGGTGCGGATGAAGGCACTGCGTAGGATGGATTGCAAGCAAAGAGACCAGCAGAACTGAAACAGGCAGCTAATTTAGGGATAATCTTTAACTTTCAAGAAAAATACAAATCTACTGAAGCCTTTTATTCATAGTGAGGTTCTGAGATCCTAGCACTTACTTTAATATCCTTTATAAAAGGAATGTATCTGCTCTGATTGACAGCAAAGCAAGGACTTCCTGTATGGTGGGGCATGGGGTGGGCTAGTTAGTGCCTGAGCTGGTTATCGCTGGAGGGGTGGAAGCAGAGAGGGCAGTGGTCTGGGTCCCAAGGATTAAAAGCTACAGTCTGGATTTTAGTGGAAACAGGAGGCTGGAAAAGCACCTACCCAGGGATGGTTTGGGGTTGTGTGCGGGGTAGGGGCGGCCGGGTGGTGCCTAGATTCCTTTCTAACTGGGAAACTTACAGGTGCCTAGAAGGAGGAAAAGATACTTAGTTCTGAATTAACACTTGGAACTGCTTTTTTCGTAGAAACAATGTTATAAACAGAGGTTAGGTTACAAGGCTGGCTTCTAGAATGAGCAACAACATGCCTGAGACCCAGTCCATTTGTAGCTTTGTTATTATGTTGTCTGCTGGATATTTCACTAACAACCAGACTTTTGGAACATCACATGTTTCTGTAAAGTGGAGATTATCTGTGTTAAGAGTTTATAATCATGCTAGTTCACCAGATACAAATTCAAGATGGTCTTGAGAATTTCACATGTGGCTGCAAAGGACTAGACCGGAAGATATCACCCAGAATACTGGCTTGGGAATTTTCTATTTAAAAATGAATCACAGTTTTTGTTTTTATTAGAATAAAACTTTATTTGTGGCATCAAGATTTTTAAAAATGATCTTTTAAAGTATGCAATAAATTTTGATATACTAATCTTGATATATATTTATCATATGAGAAGATTTTAAAGAACATCAAATGGCTTATAATCAAAACGAATTGTGTTGAACTTGATAATTATATGGAATAATTTCAGCATTATAAATAAAAAATGAAAACAAATACCATTTAAATTTGAGTTAGGATGAAATGCACTTGTGATACAATTTTATGTCTATGTTAAAATTTGATTACAGAAAAAATATAGGCTAAAATTATGTGCTTATAATTTCTAGAAAAATATGACATCCTTGATTTATGAAAATGACCCGATTTACTCTCCAGCCATAAAATGCATTTGAGATATTTTTCTATCTGGGATGAGGGGCTGTGTTGTTCGATACGATGTGGGAGACAAAAGGGATGATGGTCTGTGGCTGGGGGTTAGTGGGCGTGTCTGGTCTCATTAACACCCTGTTTTATTAAATCATAGGATCATCCAAGTGAATATTAGCCAGTTGAAAAGCAAGCTTTATGTCTTCTCAAGCTCTGATATCTGCTATGATATTTCACAGAAGTGATATTTAAACAATCATGTGGCAAAATCCTGTTTTAACAAAAATAGTTTTCACGTTCATTTCTATATATAATGAGGACATTCCAAAGTGCATTGGCCCATATTAATATTACTTTGCTGATGTGGAGAAAATGAATTCTAAGATAGTAAGATCCACATTTAGATAAACCTATGTATACATATATATCTGTATGTATTCAAAGTCAGAGATGTTTCTACTTCGTTGTCTACTAGCAGTCATTTTTAAATAAAGAGATTCTTCTTTGGGAGTGGAGTTTGTGTGCACACCTGACTTGACAAAATCTGATGGTTAGCACAAAGCATCTTCTGATTGTATGACACTGTACAGAGCATCTCTTTGGAACTTACAACAATCTTACATGAATGACAGTGAGGGTGGGCAGGATTATTCTCATTTGACAGATGAAGAAACAGGAGGCCAGAGAGGTTAAGAAAGTCACTTCAGTTTAAACAGTTGGTAAGTGATAAAACTAGGACTACGTCTGGTGGTCTTGCCTGAATGCAGGTTAACACAGGTGAAGATGAAACACAGGGTGCGCTGATCTGTGAATTACTTGCCCTAAGCCGTGCAGCTGATGGGGTGTTTGGAAAGTGGATTTGCTACTGTCACATTTGAGATCTCGACCAGGTGCTGACAGGTACCCATCGTGTTATATACCCTAACCAACTTAAACCAATAGCCATAAGCACTTTTTACTATTCTCAGAGTATATATGTCTTTAAGAAGATTCATAACCTATATCTACAGTTATTCCTAAATCCTCAAGACACCACCTTGAGAAATAGTTTTAACTTTTTTGCAAGAGCACTTTCTATATAATCATTCCAATATAGGTATGAAACGTATAAATACAGCCTTGGCACACTTTATCTTTCCCTTTTGTTTTATTCTTCTCATCCCTACTTTTGATTGTTTAACAAAGTCCTTTACACTAAACCTGTAAATTCCTTGAGGGTGAGGGCTGAGCTAGCTTTCTTTGAAGCTGCTAACTCTCACCCCCAGGGCCCAGCTCTGCGCACTGCACACAGCAGGCATTCAGGAAATGTTTGTTGAACGCATGCACATGACTTTCATGTACTTTGATTTGGTTCAAGTAGGATTCTACCTGTAGCATTTTGCCAAAAGACTTTTGGATTTATAGTAAAACACCATCATTTTCATAGTAAACAGTATTTTTTAAAAGCATAAGAAATATGGTAATAAATTTAATACAAATTACGCATTATAACTATTCTTTGGTTATTTTTTAACAAATTATTTGTTTTTTTTGACTAAAGTGAAATACTAAAAATATAAAAATGCAACTACAGAAATCAGCTTAATCTGTAAACATAATAAACCCTGTAAACATATATTTACTACATAATTGTGCAAGTGTAAAGAATGACTAGTAAAGGCAAGTACTATACATTTAACTTAGTTCTTCAAGGCATATTTAGAAATACTGCTTTATGGGGCTTTAATGTTTGAAGAAGGAATTGTTTAAACTAAATTAAAACATGAGCGATGACTATACCAATGAACCATCAGGACACACAGGCAAGAGGAAGGCGTTAACACTTTTCACCCTTTGCAAATCTGAATTTGTTTCACATGTCTTACGAACCACTTTGTTCAGTAAAACTCCATATTAACAAAAGCCAAACATCTTGAAAATGAAGAAGTAAACATTTTTCTGCAAGTGAGTCAGTGGACTACAAATATAGGTAACACACTTTCCAAGGTTTTTTCCAAAATTATGGGCAGTAAGGTGCATTCGGCAGGTCTACAAAATAATAAACAGCTGCAGGCAGCACTAAATAGATTGTAGTTTACTCCATATTAAAGTATTCTTTTCCAAATTTCAGTTTTCCTTCTCAAAAAGCATCAAACTTTTCACACATGACATCACAAATATTTCACAGTTACAATTTCAGTAGTTTAAGAAAGAACTGCCTGGCAAATACTGTAAAAGAGGTAAATGTTAAGGACAAAACTCACTATTTCAGGCACACAGGACTCCTATCCTCGAGTGTGAACCCTAAGGATACGATGCAACAACTGTGTAAATGCAACACATTATCTAAAAGTGAGTGAAATCATGGTGAAGTTGTCATACTGTTTCTTCTAATGCTTTTATCTAATTTTCTCCATATCTGGGAAGAATCAATGGCCAAGTTTTAGTAGTTCCCTGGAAAAATTTTAAGTCAAGATTTTGCTTATACAAAAATGCCAGTAAAACACAGTGGATTGTTATTTGTAATCTAATCAACTCCATCAAAACCCTGAGTGTTCTCAATCGCCATCTGAAGTTTATCCCATAATTCTTCAAATGATTCATAGGGTGGCAAGTCCAAGCGATTAAAGCTGCAAGTACAGAGAGGCACTGGTTATGAAAGACACTGACAAAGCAAGTATCCCCATGGCACACATGGTAATGCTGCTCCCAGCAACACGAGCAGACATTTTTATCACTGGGAAGACGGAAGACACAGGACTGGACTCTAGGCATGGCCTCCGGCCTGACTCCCTGGTGGAGTCCTCTCAGCCCCACCTCCACCTCCAAATGCCTGGGTTTCTCTGTCACCTTAACCTCCCAAAGGGGATGTTCCAGCCCCTCTTGGGATGGCCCATCATTCATGTGATGGAGGCAACATATGGTCAACAGTTGATGGGCTTCTCCAATGCTCAGCTACCTGGACATGAAGCCCAGGCCTACCTGGTAAAGAAACACCTGTTCTTGGGTTGGTGTCCACGTCACCGCCTCCTCCTCCTCCGTAGCTGCCACTGACAACAGCACGGAGTGGGCTAGACCTTCTGTACCTAGACTAACTGTCTGAGGGAGCTTCGCTCTCCCAGATTGTTCTCTCGGGGTCTAAGAAACTGCTTACCATGTATGGGCTCTTGGCAGCTTTTCAGGGGTTCCCCACTGTTCAACTGTAAATGACTGCGGTCCGTTTGAGCCTGGAAGGAAGAGGACCTGCTTTGGTTTCATTTACTCTTTACAGGAACCCTCGGCATTTCACAACTCACTTTTTCTAGTGTAGAACTTACACTACAGGGAACTAATCTAGTTTCTTTAAACTCAAAAGAAATGAAAGCTGTCCTGTGCTTGATGGATTTATTGTCCAGCCACGAAATGAGAATTTCTCTTCTAACAGTTCATTTGTGACCACCGTATCCCTCTGACTCTGGGGTGGCACGTCTGATGGTGTTTTTGCTGCTTCCTAGCCCTGTACACAACTGTATTTCCATATACCACCTCCTTCATAGGAGCACAGAGAAAATGAACATTTTCTTTCTCTTTTGAGTCCCACTGAAAATAGCTTTAATTTTTTCTGTCCGTATAATCTTACTGCAAAAAATTAAAGCAATAGAGAAAAATACAATGAAGGATGTAAAAATCACCTCAAATCCCACCATTAACTCTAAGCAAACATCCTGTCGTGAATCCTTCTGTGCATGTGCATATACAGAGAGAGAATTTTATGTGCATGTGATCATGTTATACAGGCTATGTTTTTCTTTTATTATGGGCATTTTTAGAAACTCTTTTTTTTCTTTGGAGTTTTCACTTAGCTCTTCCTTCTCCAATTCACAACATCCTCTACCCACCCAGGTAATCAATGCTGACAACCCAATGTGTAACCTTCCATACTTTTCTCCATATCTTATAATTATATCCAAGTACGTGTGTGTCAGTATAATTGTCAGAAGTAGCACTAAAAATATTTAATAGTCTCCATATTACAGTTTTCTCAAAAAGCACTACTTTTCACACATCACCCATAACAATTACATTCACTGTTAAAATTTCAGTACTTTTGTCCCTGTTTGTTTTCCATGACATGGAATCATACGTATTTCCCAGCTTCTTGGTTCTCTCGCCTAAACAACCCATCATCAAAACTCCCTGTGAGTCAATTGACATAAACTTAACATACTTTTTATTGGCTAGATAATATTGCATTGTAATATTAACATTTTGAAGCAACTTCTATTTTTTCTTGTAAACACATAAAAATTTGAAGTTATATTCTAACACTAATAACTCTGGCTCTATGTGTAGGACATTTTCCCCAAATTTTAGTTTGTGAAATCAGTGGATGGCCGTAGGCCTGCCCTGCATAAAAAGGGAAGTGGAGCTAGGGTTGGTAAGGGGTGTCTGCCTCGCCTTGGTTTTCTCTACAAACTGGCTGATGCACAGAAGAGACAGGAAGGGGAGCAGGTGAAACCACTAGAAAGACAAATGCTAAGAAATCCAATTAGGCAAGGAAGGAGCGCATGGTTAGCGGCAAAGCTCCTGCCTCCTTCTTCTCACTGTGAGCGTGACTCTAGGTGGAGAAGTGGCAGCTGCTTGACAGGTTCTGCAAACAAATATAAATGAAGCTTAACAAGGAGACCAGGTTTGCCAAAGAGGAGACAGAGGGGGTGAGCGATCCCATCACATAGCAACAGCCTTCTACTTGCACAGTAAATTCAGCTTAGCAACTACCTAGTGGTCCCTGACTTCTAGTCCCCAGAACAATTCTCATCGCTCTTGCTCTGAGGACGGCTCCGATCTTTGCTAAATCTCCTCTGAAAGATTTGTTCTTTCTTCTTAGTATCTTGAAAAGCAAGTAAATGTCATTCCAATAGAATATTAACTGATGTGAGAAAACTTACTGTGATCTACCTCAGAAACAGTACTTTTTTTCTTTTTTTAATAAAACACACCTCTAGTGTTCTAGGTAAATCAAAGAGAAAATAGTTTGACGGGATATACAGAATTTCACTTTACAGAAAACTGCATTAATAATAGTTCTCAATATAAAGAGACACATGCAGACTTATCCCCAGCCTTGCCGTTTCCCACAAGGCTGAGGAATAGCAGCCTGTTGAGATCCTCCACCCCCACCACCACCACCACCACACACACACGCACACACGGATTCCATGAGCAAGTAAGCTTTGGAAACTCTGCTTTTTTTCCATAGCAAAGGTTCTGAACAAGTCCCAAAGCAATCTATCTAACTTTGCTCAGTCCAGTATTCCCCCAGATGTATTCTACCATGAGACTCTGTTTTTTGGTGTATACTTATTAACATTCCATGGAACTTTACATGCTGCCCTAAACTATCACAGTACAGGCAATGCTTTTTCTCTAATGGCTTGCAGAGTGGGAATCAAATTTAAAATTCAAGAATGGAAAGTACCTCATTTCATGTTTCTGCTTTTCTCCTTTGTTTTCCATGTTTCCAGTCTTCTCTGATTACAAGGTATATATATATATATATATATATATATATATATATATTTTAGCCTACTTCAGCATATCTAATTTAAAAACCTTACTTTTTTATTAAGCTAAATGTTTGTATAAATTATAGAAGCTTGAAGACTAACCAGCCATGAGAAAGACAATTGGCATTGCTCCATTTTTTAATGATCTATGGAAAATCCTTACCATATAGTTCAGCAAATCCATTCATAGGCACACGGGATGTGCCAGTGACAAACTGAAGTAATCTTATTCTTTTTTCTGAATCCATCATTAAAACAGCCTGAATAAGATAAAAACAGCATTGAGGAATATCGTTGGAAAAAAGGTAACAAAACTATTCTGAAAAATATGCTATCAGAATTTAGAGCAGTAATGATCACTTATTAAATTTGCATGTTTGTTTTAGTTAAATGTGTGTTTATGGGTGGTTTACAAAGTTTTTGAGACTTTATTTCCAAGGCTACATGGTAACTCTTTAGAATAGGATTATACCCTAACAAAGTGACAAAAATTTCTTCTCAGATGCGACTCATGGATTTTAAAAAATCATATTTATTGATATTATTGAGTGGTATACACATTTTCACTTTTAAAGGAGCCATGTAGGAGTCCCAGAGAATACGCTGAGGTTATGACACATTCTCTTGAAGTGTCCCTACTTTAGTACGGAACTTAAGTGTCTAGATCAGCTGTCAGTGCCCTTTACACACTCTGAACACTTTACTTACTTATCTGTAAATATGCATGGAGGTCAGGACCATATCCAGAAGGTAGATATATATAGTAGAAAATCAATGATAATTTTTGCTGGAATATATATATATATTTGTCTTATCTATATGTAACCCACTAGTATAAATTGATTGAATCTATCAAAAAATAATTTATGAAAATAGAAGCTTTCAATTACCTTCCAAAACCACTGTATGACTGGATGATTTACATTGTAGCCATTTTTATATTTTGTGTGTTCTCTCCAGTCATTCACATCAACATCTCCTAATCCACACATAAGAAGCTACAAAATAAGAAATGTCAAACTGTAGACAAGAAAAAATAATGGGTACAAAAGTCCTGTTTTAAAATAAGAATACTATTTCTTACCTCTAGTTCATTTTCATCGAAAATTTTGATGAGATCCTGTGGTATTAGTTCAAAAAACCCCTAGTAGAAAGAATGTATTTAAAAACCTGGTTAGCAGGGTCAATGGACAATCCTATAGTTCACCTTCCGGGTGCTACTGGAGAAATCCCACATCCATATGGATTCCTACCACTACACATTCATGGGCTCTTGAGATTTCAATATTGGCAAGAAAATGAACGTATCCATCATCTGTTTTCTCTCATTGATTCCTCAAAGTGGCTATTTTAAAACTTTCCCGCACTTCTCAAGCCTCCTCCTCCTCCATGTCACCCCTTTACAGCAGAAAATTTCTATTTGAGAGAGAAAACAGAGGCGATTATGTAGGGAGGAATTCCCTCAACCTTCTGCATCTCAAATAGCAACCAGCACCAACATCCATCATGGCGTCCTTCCCGTGGCAGTGGAGAGAGGTACCACTTCCTCTCTGTGCTTCAAATGCTTCCTCAAAGAGGTCACCTCACTGAACCTACTTCTCTTTATTAGCATACTCTTTATATATTTAAATTTGTTCAAGCCATATCTACCTTAAAAACTAACAAAAAAGCAAACCCCTCTTTCTTCTCTTTATAGCCAAGTTCTGGACAGTGTCATATGTTCCTGAATCCACTTGCTCATCTCCCCTCCATCCCTTAACCCACTGCAATCTACGCCACCGCTTCCCTGAAGCTGTCCTGGAAAAAGTCAAAGACAGTTTTGTGGCTAAATCTGACCAACGCTTTCTAGTTCCATATCTTATTTGACTTTTCTGCACTATGATATGGGCGAAAACACCTTTGTTCTTGAAACTTTGCTATTGATGCTTTTCTCTTTTTCTCTGTCTGCCTTTCCTAATTTCCTTTGAAGTCTCCTTTTTTATTGTCCATTCTCGAAATGGTGGTGTTCCCATATCTCCATGTATGGCCATCCACTTTTACTATTCTTTCGAATTTTCCATCTTATCTAGTCCACAGCTCCATTATACATATGCAGATGACCCCCATACTGCCACCCCAGATCTCTAGCTTTTAAATTGCCCTCTGCTATAGCTCACCCTTCCTGAATACCATTCAAATTCACACACAACTCTCTCCCCACCACCATCATCTTAGTTCTCGTCCTTACCATTCCTCACCTGGATTACTGTAGCACTTTCCCAACTAGCCTCCGCTGCTAGTCTTGCCTTTCTCTAATTCACTACATACCACTTCTGGAAGGATAGGACCAAAATGTGAATTAAATCCTTGTGTTTTATTGTTTAACAGCCTTTAATGCCACGTTTCTTCCCCTCACTGGAAGTCAGAAAACTCCAACCTCCACCTTTGTTTTCAGTTTAACAAACAGGTCCTTAATAATCTGGTTCTGCTCAGCTCCCCAGGCTTAGTTTTATCTCTTGTGTCCTCTCATCCAGTATATGAATTGCTTGTATTTTCTTTCTTTCTTTCCTTTTTTTTGGTGAGGAAGATAGGCCCTGAGCTAACATCTTCCTCTTCTTTTTGGTTGAAGATTTGCCCTGAGCTAATATCTGTGTCAGTCTTCCTGTATTTCGTACGTGGCTCACTGCCACAGCATGGCTGATGAGTGGTGTAGGTCTATGCCTGGGATCTGAACCCGCGAACCTGGGCTGCCAAAGCAGAGTGTGCTGAATTTAACCACTATGCCACGGGGCTGGCTCCTGTATTTTCTTTAACGTGTGCACAGTCTGTCTTATTGCCAGACATTACACATGCTGCTCTCTCTCCTTAGAATTGCATTTCCTTCTTCCCTGTGGCTGGCCAATCCCTCTAACCTTCTCTGCCCCTTTCTCCACGTCTCCCTGCTCTGGTTTCTACCTCTTCTCTCTGCTTACCTAGCACTTCAGGCTTGCCTCTGTCTATTTCACCCTTTAGATTCTCTGCTCTTTGACAGCAGGACCTATGTCTTTTTGCCTCACAAGCGCCAGACACAGTCAATGCTCAATATCGAATACATGAAAAAGTATGTGATAAATATTTAATAGAAGATTTTACGTTAGCTTAAGAAATGAGTGCCCTGACAATAGCCTAAATGTCTATTAATTGGGAAGCGTAAATAGCTTATGAGTTTATTTTATGAATAAAATGCAGCTACAAAGAAAGGTAGCTATATACTTGTCGTGCAAAATCTCCAATAAATATCTGATAGGAGAAGAAATCAAGTCATCAATAAATATGTATTGTGTGGTCCCATTTAGGAGAAGAAACAAATGGTATTTTCCACTGTCACGATAGCCCTCTTGTCCTTTGCTTACCTATGGTACTCAAGGTGAGGGGAGCGGGGCTGGGGAAAGGCGGGGGGCAGCGATAGATGTGAAGGGGGACTGTCAGTGGTTACTGCATAGACTTCCTGGATGATGGAGTTTTAACAGTGTTTATTCATTTAATATTTTGTTAATATGAAAATAGAATTGAAAATGGTTTTAAAAAGCAAGTCATATACTACTTTTTCTCAGATGTGATGAAGCCCAATGTTTAAAACTTATGGATCGTACTTTGAAATTATAGAAGAACAAACAAAAGAGAACGAGTACCTCTTTAAAAGCAGCCATTTGCTTCTGGATTCGGTTTACAAATCGCCATTGTATTACAAGACTACAAGAAACAAAACATTTCATCTTTTTCACATGAAGCCAGAAAACAATTTAAGGTGTATTTATTCTGGTTAGAAACAAAAAATAAAGACTAGCTAAGCCAAAGAAAAAAAACTGAACATGAGTAGGTAATATGACATTATTATAGAAAGAGAAAAAGAACACTGAGACCCTGGCTATGGGGGAAGAGAAAGAAGGTATGAAGAATTTTCCCAGAAAGAAGTACAAACTTATTTCCAGTAAAGTATTTACTAAACACAGTAAAATACCTACTAACAAGATACTTACTAAATATATTCCTTTTTGTTCTTATTGGTGACAACTATTTCTGATCCACCATTTTTCAACTCATGTTGATGTGTCTAAAATTAAGCAAATACCTTGATATGTTATTTTAGTGAAAAAAAATAAAGTATACATATTATAGTTATACCAGAAACGTGGTGTTTTTAATAAATCCATTCAAAAACTAAGAAAACTTAAAATACTAGTTGTACTAAAATAAATATGGAATGCGTCAAATAAAGCAGAAATTCTTGATGACAGACAGCTTTTGTTACCGGAAAATAAATTTAAAACTAGAGCACAGAAATGTGTTGAGGATATGCACTATTTAACGTCTAATATTAAGTTATAACATTTGTTTCATAATTTATGTACCATTTTAATTAATCAAAATTTACGAACCTGTCCAAAAAGTTCTTCATCTATGACAAACCTGAGGTCCAGTTCTGTTGGGTCATTTTCAAGAATCCATCTTAGTGAATTGTAATATTCACCGTCCTAGATGGGAAAAATTGTATATTTAGAATTTGCATATAAAGAACACACCTGAACCTGCAAACAAAGTAGGCTGGGGGTCTGAATAATTGGACAAAAGATGAAAAGGTCAGTTGGACATCTTTTCCATAAATACACAAGGATTATAAAAAGAGATGGATGACTCGTAAGTGTGAGAATAAAAATGCATATATCAATAGAGCGGTACCTGCTTAAAAGTTTAGCAATCTATCTCTGTGTGGAAGCAGTGATTTTCTTATCCAGTTAAAGGGTCAAAGAAAGCAGTTTTCAGTTGAATCCTACCTTCCATGGACACTCAGGGGCACCTAGCACCTTTCTCATATGGCCTATGAGACTGTGTGTGAAATGTTTAAGCAGCTATGGGGAGGCTGTTATTGACACCTGGCCCAAGTTAAAGAAAAATATCAAATTAAATTCAAAACCTGAATTAGCCAACTCAACTGTGTAATCTTATGATTGATAATATGGTTCACACTGCTAATGTATCACTAGAAAGGAATAAAAAATGAACTTGGTACCCAGGAAGAGGTCTTGGAATCTGTGTTCACACAGCGTATGAGGCCATTCAGCATAGGCAGCAAGGCTTATAGGCAGAGATTTAATCCTCAGGTTTCTGTTTCTTTGTAGTGGCCTAACCGCAAAGCCTTGCCTTTGGACTGCTATTTTGAAAACATACGCCACTCATCATAAAAGATCACAATTCATATATTGATGCAAGAGATACATAAAAATGTTGTATAGCATGTTAAAGTATTTAGGGAGCAGTTTACCTATACTTGCAACTTTCTTTGAAATGCATCAAAAAATAAGATGGATTGATGAATACATGGGTGGACAGATGGATAGGTATGTGATAAAATAAATATAGAAAAAAAGCCAATTGTGGAATCTTGGTGGTGGATACACACATGTTCACTAGAAAATTTTTTCAATTTTATTCTATGTTAGAAAATTTTCATAATAAAATGTTGGGGAAAATGTTCCTTTGTGTTTTGAAACATTATAATCTATTAATTTCATCATTAAAATCTAACTTTAAAATATTCAGTTGCCTGTTAAATTATATTTTCTCTGTATTATAAGTGAAACAGACATACCACTGATTCCATGTCATGAAGTGTTATTGGTTTGTGTAGCATCATCTTGTAAAATGGGCGGATGAAAAAACCTTGCAAGAAATCAAATATATTTAAAATGATTACCAAGTGAAATAAGATAATTGAATTAAAAAAGAAATTTATGCTTGATACTAACCATCCAACAGTTTTCCATGGTAAACTGCCATTCCAGCTACCCGGCCAATAAATTTGAAATAAGAGAGGTGATCTTCATTACACAAGCCAGAGTTTGGATTTATCTGTAGTGTATAATTATCCCTGTAAAGACAAGCACATCTAAATGATCCTCTCTATATTTCATATAAAAATTTTAATATAACAAATAGTAAATTACCTCCCTCTTTTTAGAGTTGTTTACCGTTATTAGAAACACATTAGACCACTGGATTTAATGTTTTGAAAATAGTAATTTCTGCCAAAAGGTGGAAACAACCCAAATGTTCATCAACAGATGAATGGATTAAAAAAATGTGGTATAAACACATAATGAGATATTATTCAGCCTTAAAAAGGAAGGAAATTCTGACACATGCTACCACATGGATGAGCCTTGAAGACGTTATACTAATGAAACATATCAGTCCCAAAAGGACAAATACTGTATGATTCCACTTATATGAGGGACCTAGAGTAGTTAACCTCATAGAGACAGAAAGCAGAATGGTGGCTGCCAGTGAATGGGGGAATTAGTGTCTAATGGGTACAGAGTTTCAGTATGGGATAATGAGAAAGTTCTGGAGACAGATGGTGGTGATAACTGCATAACAATGTGAACGTACTTACTGCTATAGAACTATACACTTAAAATGGTTAAAATTATAAATTTTACATTATGTATATTTTACCAAAGTAAACAAAAAGTTATTTCTGAAACATTAGTTATAGTCTACATTTTCTGGCACATTGTAATATACACTTTCCTTGCATCATACAACTCTGTAATTTTCAAAATAGTGATTTTTTTTTCTGTATACAGCATTGTGAAGTTACTTACGTAGCAGAATATTCAAACAGCCCATAATAAGGGTTAAACATTTCCTTTGAGATCAGGAAGAACCATTCTCTGGCAACTCCTCCATAATCTAATCCCTTTTCACCATCAAACTCAATCCACAGTCGAGCCTTGAGGAAGTCTGCTCTCTTGACACCCATAATTCTCCTGTAAGAGTCCTCAAGAACAGTTGCACGGCGAAGTTTCATTTCAAATTTGTTTGGAATGTCATTCTGAAAACCCAGAGAAGAGAGACACATGGTTTAAATCGATTCAATATGACACCAAATTTCTCTCTTATAAAAGTCATAAAATCCACTGCACTCCACCCTGTGCTCAAGACCCATTTTGAGGGAAAACAAGACTAGGAACATTGTCTATATTTCCTCTATGGTATAAAAGAATCCATGCATTTTCTCTAATCACATAATAATATAGCCTTCTGATTTTTATATCTGAAGAAGCAGCAAGTTATAGTGGTAATAACGCTCACATGAAGGCATGTCATGAACAGTCAGTTCCATAGAAGTTCCAACAAGGACCATTCTGTGACCTGTAGTCTAGCTGCTGCCTGCTACTTGTTGCCTGCCTGTTGGTCCAGGGTTTTTCCCTACCTCCACTTTTCCTCCTTTGAGCCTACCCTGCTTAACTATTAACAGGTGCTAACATTTACAGACCGTGCCAGGCACTGTTCCCAACATTTTAATTTAACTTTGACCAGTAAGTTCATTTACTCCTCATAATAATACCATGAATAAGCTACTATTATTATCTCCATTTTATTGATGAAGAAACTGAAGACAGAAGTTACGAAAGTCTTAGCTTCAGAGTCTCTGCTCTTAGTGAGCTGCACTGCCTCACTAATCTTTTGTACATCCTTTGCTTATGTGACAAATGTAGATAACTACGCTTTTAGGCAGACCTTATTGTGAATTTTATGGAACTATATCTGATTCTTTTATTCTTGAGTGCTTTGTGTGCAACGTTCAAGTGGAAACCATTAAGAGAAAACATGCTATCAATATTCTGTCACTTTAAAAAAAGAAAAGAGGCTTAGCTCTAAGGAAAGAATATTAATTTTACTATCAATATATTTAGGCAAAATTGAAAGCCCTATAGAAACAATAATATAAGCAGTTTATATAAACAATATAAGCATAATATAAGCAGTTTCCTCTGCTGCTTATACAATCTAAAAAAATGGGAATATTGGAAAAAAGCAATTTTAGACTAGACACTAGGCAACTAGTGCAGGTTGGTTACTCACCAAGCATTTACTGAGGCCTGCTCTGGGCCAGGCCCCACGCTAGGTAGGTAATACAGTGGGACCAGGGATGGGAGGAAAAGGGAGTAAAAACATGCCATAAGATGTGGTCACCTCCTCAAGGAGCTTATGATCTGGTGAGTATGTGAGAAACAATATAAATGTTACTAATTCTGAGACTTAAAGGAGTAGGAAAATTGCTAATTATTGAGATATAAGCAGTGTTTTGTGGGATCCTAAAAGATTGAGCTATTAATTGCAAGTGAGGCAATCAAGGAGGCCTCGAGAGGAAGTCTCGACAGGAAGGGAAGGGAGAGAGAGACTGAGGAACAGCAGGTTAAGCGGAGAGCATGCATGAGGGGTCTATTCTATTCAGAGGTACTGTACTATAGTACTACTGTAGAATACTTCCACATACTTCAGAGGGTACAGGAGGAGGAGGGGAAGGGAAAGGGGGATTATAGTGCAAGAGGAAGGTGGAGAAGTCTGTAGCCTGGGGCCAGAGTGTGGAAAGGGTGAATGGTGACTAGGAAGAGAGTCACTGAGCAGGGAGCACATGATCAGATTGCTATGTTCTCAGAAGCTGACGGGGTAGAGTGTAAAGGGTGGTTTTAAGGGGGAGAGACAAGAGGCAAGCTGGTCAGTTAAAGACCCTGAAACAGACCGTGTGAGAGAAGACAAATGAACTGTGTGAGGGAGTGACAACGGAAGAAAGAGAGGGATGGAAGAAAAATTTCCACGGTTTAACGGGATAATGTATTTCATGAGCTTACATGGTATCTGGCACAGGGTGAGCTCAATAATGATTAGTCAGCCTTATTCTTAACTAATAAGATGTTAAAGATAAGGCAGAGGAAAAGGTTAAAGATAAGGCAGAGGAAATGCTACAAGGCTTTGTAGCATTGCCTTTTAACACTTTTATCTCTCCCTCAGGGTTCTACTCTTCTGCTGTGATACATCCAGATATAGATTTTGTTTTTAAATCCTGCTTGAGACTTTTTGTTAAACTGAGAATTCAGATTCTCAGCCTCTTCCCCATGTTTTTGAGTCTCTCTTTCCTTTCATGTTTTTATCTCTTTATATGCCTTTGTTGCATTCTGGGTAATTTCCTCTCTTAATCACCAATATCACATATCATGTTGGTTAAGACGATGGACTCTGGAGCTAGACCGTTTGGTTTGTATCAGGCTTTGCCACTAATAACCATGGAACTTGATGACATTGCCTAATCTCTCTGTGCCTCAGTTTCCTCACTTGTAAAGTGTGGTGATAACAGTCCCTTTCTTATAGAGTTGTTGTAGGGACTACATGAATAATACATTCAACTTGCTAAGAAGAATGCCTGGAATGTAGTGAAAGGTCAATAAATATTAATGCTTTCGTTATGTTTTTGTGTTCTGTGACCTGTTTATAAAGGCCTTGTTCCATATCCTGCTGCCTGGAAGATGTCAATAATTGGATACAGTAACAAGTTTATAAGTGTTCAGAGTGGCAATTGGAGAAGCTGGTGCTTCTCCACTAGCATATTTTCACTAAGAGTGAAAATATTTATTAGAAATCAGTGAAGACTGACAATCCCAAATCCTAGAAGTAGAAAAACAAATTTCCAAAGTGATTTTGACACAGTTATTATTCGAGTTTAAAAAGTTGCTGATATTTTAGGATTTTGTTAAGGCATAAAATATTTGCACTAAAAAACTATATTTCATTTTTGTTAAATTCTGGATGAAAAAAAATCTGTGGTAGCAGGCCCACCATCTTGAATCTTTGGAAAAGCAGGCTTCCTGCTTAGAACGCAAGTAAGTGTAACCCAATATCGCCACCTAGTGGTGGCATTCCTAAACTGCAGGGAAAGGGGGAAAGTACGAGCAAATTACAGAAAGGCATTAAAAAATGGTCATCACCAACAGAAATGAAACAGATGGGCAGATGATGAGTTTAGTCCCAAACATACTGAATTTGTGGTGATGTAAAAAAGTGTAGTGAACATATCTGATAAGCAGAAAAAGACAAGTAACGAGCACTGTTCCAATCACAGTTCTATTTTCAAATTTTGCAGAGAGAGGTTATATTTGAAGCTGTGGAGAATGAATAGCCAAAGCATAAAAGAATCCTGAGAGAGCTCCCACACAATCAAAGTCTAGGTCAGGAGACAATCTCCCGAGGTACTCTAACTCAGATTTGACAAAACCCAAACCCCACAAACTTCACTAGGAAATGAAGTTAGAGCTCTTTATGGCAAACTTTTAATACTATTTTTCTATACTACAGAATATCTTGAAAAATGAAGAAAGACATAAAATAATTGTGGTCTCTGATGATATATAACAGCTACTCAAAAAATAAGCACCCTTTTCCTGTAAACAACTATTCAAAATTATTACAAATGTAGAACATATTCTCTATTACTTTTTAAAATGCATTTCCCATACTTTCAGTCTACATAACAATCATTTCTAAGAACTCATTATAAGTATCACTAACCTGCTTCTTCAACTTTCTTCGGAAGAACTCATACTTTCTTTTGTAATCCCTGGAGTAGGGCACTGCCTTTAGTTGAAAATTTGGGAAAAATAAAGAACGTTTAGGTTGTTTTTATTCTGAAAAAATTTTAAAAGTTCCCCTTTGGGTATTTTATGAACATAAGTTTAAGATATCAAAAGAGAATATTTGGAAAGAAAAGTTTAATTCGAAGAAAAGCAAATATAAAACTTTAAAAATTTAAATTTCTCTGTGTAAGATAAAATTGTATTCAGCAATTCCTATGGCTGTAATTTTCATCATGCAATATTCTTGAAATGTAACATGCCAGAAACAGGAAATTTCTTCCAAGGAGAGAAATATTAGAAATGAAAATTTCCATTTCTAAAGAGACTTTCAAAGTGATTTCTCCATTAAGGGAACAATTTGAAAAATGTACTTTTTCCTTGAACTCTGAGGAGTTGCCTTTTTTATCCATTATTTTAAAAGACTAAACATGGGAGACTCAAGAGTAGTCTAAAAGAACTAAATCTTCAATTTTACTTGTTTTTGTGAATTAGAAAACAAGTAAAATCTGAAGAACTAAAAATGGAAAAAGTAGCTATAAATATAAAAGAGGATAATGATTTTGCTATCATTAATCTGACTCAAGAGTAGTATAAACATATTACATGGTAATATTTATACTTCAATACGACTGTGTCATATATACACACACATATCTATACACACACACATATCTATACACATACACATACACACATATACATATATATAATATCTTATATATACAATGATTTCTACCACAAAGTTCAAGACATGATCCTGGAGTTGATAGGGCACTGTCAGCTATCAGGTTGGCTCCTCTCTGATCTGGGGAGGACTGCCAGGATTCTTTTTCAGGCAATGGCAAGTACCAGCCTGAGCACAGCAGCCCACTGCCTTAGCATTTTGACTGTGGCTCCCTCGTCTCCCAAGGCTATTGGGTAGGGTAAGGATAACGACCTTAGATGCTCTTTGCAAACAACTGAGACCCGGAGTGGGGTAGGGGCGAGAGGAGAGAATTGCAAATGTGCTTTCCTGTCAACGCCTGCAGGATTATGCCCTTGACCATTCGCCCTTGAAGAGACAGGGGAGAGGACACTTCTGTCAGAGCAGAGTAATACAAAGATACTTACTGGTCCAGTTATTGCTACATTCTGCAACCGAGGATCTTCCCATTGTGTTCTTTTTATATCTGAAGAAAGAGAAAATCGATGTTTATTCTCATGCACAAAATTCAGTATCACAAAAAAAAAAGTAATGAAAAATCACATTGTACATACTGTGATTTATGTAGAAGATTCTTCCATCTGTGTGAGTTCTTTCTTCCCATCCTGGCTGTAATGAAGAATGTTTTTCAATTATTTTAGGAAGGGGTTTTAGATGTACAGGTAGAAAAATGGCATTGGTTATACGGTTAATTTAATTTGTACATTCCATTCTTTGTAAAAGGCATCAACCCTTTAATAATAATATTAATTTTAGTTGTTAAAGAACTACTGTATTCCAAAATACAAAATGTTTGAGCTAGCCAAGTTAGAGTGAGCAGTTCTCCAAACTTACAGGTAAAGGCCCCAGATCACTGGAAGAATCAAGTGACGTCTTTCCTCTCAGATGAGCTGGAATTTTCAGTCTTGGATCTTCCTTTTTTGGTAGAGTAAATAAAGAAAACAATACACACACACAAATTTTAAAATCACAGAAGTCAATCTGTTACTACGGTTTTTAGTATCAGTGGATATTTAAAATATTCTCTTTAGAGCCAGCCCTGATGGCCTAGTGGTTAAAGTTCGGTGCTCTCACCACTTCGGCAGCCTAGGTTCAGTTCCCGGTCACAGAACCACAGCATCCGTCAGTTGGCATGCTGTGGTGGCAATTCACAAAGAAGAACTAGGACTTACAACTAGAAAATACAACTATGCAGTGGGGCTTTGAGGAGAAAAAAAAAAAAAGAGGAAGATTGGCAACAGACGTTAGCTCAGGGAGAATCTTCCCCAGCCAAAAAGAAAAAAATCTCTTTAAAAAGTATGCTTTTCGGGCCTGGCCCGGTAGCATAGTGGTTAAGTTCACATGCTCCACTTCTGCGGGCTGGGGTTTGCGGGTTCAGATTTCAGGTGTGAACCAACACACCACTTGTCAAGCCATATTGTGGCAGCATCCCACATACAAAAAAAAAAAAAATAGAGGAAGATTGGTACAGATGTTAGCTCAGGGACAATCCTTCTCGCCCCCCCCCCCCCAAAAAAGTTCACTTTTGGGGGACTAGCCCAGTGGCATAGTGGTTAAGTTTGTGTGCTCCACTTTGGCATCCTGTGGTTCGTGGGTTTGGATCCCGGGTGCAGACCTACACACCGTGCATCAAGCCATGCTGTGGTGGCATCCCACATGCAAAATAGAGGAAGACTGGCACGGATGTTAGCTCAGTGACAATCTTCCTCAAGCAAAAAGAAGAAGATTGGCAATAGATGTTAGCTCAGGGCCAATCTTCCTTACCCCCCGCCCCCAAAAAAGGGCACACTGTTATTTCATTTCCTTAATCTGTGAAATAATATTTTCTCCATCTAAAATCTCTCATTCTCAGGCTACTCAGGCTACAGTATTCAGTCCTCAGAGTGGGATCAGTATGAACTCATCATCTCTTTCACAGAAACCATTCAGAGTATTTTGCCCCACTCTTTAGGGATTGTGTCACCATAGAGGGGTCTTCTCTAAATAAAAACTGGTGGAAGAGTGGGACATTAAACTGGACTACACGTTATGTCTCAGTCCCCAACCATGCTTTTTGGTACCTATCTGTTAAGGTGTTGATTTAGTAATATTTTTGAAAGATAGGAAGGTAAGCGCAAAAAGGTTATTAAAGTCAATTCAAATTGTTGAAGAAGAGAACAAAATTCAATTTATTTGGATTATTTATATATATCATTTTAATATTATTTTATTAAATAACTTATTAAACTATTTTAGTATTACTTAGGTACACTGATCTTTTAAGTAAATTAATTGAAATATATTCATCTGCTGATGACTTCCAGTAATTTTTCTATTAGTGGTGAACCAACTGCTAAACAACTTTAACTCTGATCTTAAAATAAAAATCCCTATTCTCCTAGCCTTACAAGGTTTTTTGGGTAATGAAATATGGATTCAAAAGTGCTTTAGAACTATAAAGCCTCCTATAAAGGTAAAGGATTATTACTAAATTTCTTCCTAAGCACTTATGGCTAATGAGCTAAAAACTTGAAATAGGAAGTAAATGTCGATATCTCCAGGACAATCCCCCAAAATATTAAAAATAGGCATAAACATATTTTGAATAGAAATGATACTATTAAGAATTCAACATATCTTTAAGTAAAACTAGGAAACATAAGTTATACTAATAGACACTTAAAGACTATAAAGAACTATACATAAGGGATTATTATTGCTATCGCTATAAAACTGAAGAGTCAGAGTTACCCAGGTGGTGGTTTTGGTGTTGTGGTCTATGAAGAAAGGCCTCCCGTTTGGGGCATGCCGGACTTCCCAGCCTTTGGGAAGGAATCCTTGCTCCATCTCAGATGGCTGGGTCACCTGCTGTGCTGAATCACTCGTGGGGACATGTGGTTGAGTGCATGCAGGAGAACTCTGGCTCGATGGCATCTGACTGGTCTCCACTGTGGCCTAGGATATTAATTAAACCATGTTGTCATGCTTTATAGAGAACACACAAATAGCTGTGGTTAAAAAGGTAACCTGCAAACAGAATACATACTTCTTATAAATCGGCCTAAGCATGGGAGGCTCATTTTTCTAGTAGAGTGTTTTGTCAAACTTTGTTTTTACAATTATTTATAATTTCTCAGCTAATTCTCGAGTGATAAGATGCTGGGTAACAAAGTTGTGGTGGGTGCATGTGACTGAGAAAGCTGGATGGGCGGGCCTGTGCCTTAGAGGCAAGGAAAGCCATAGAACCCAGTGGAGGAGGACTTTGCTCGTCCAAAAGACTCAGAGAGTTGGGGAATTCCCCATACACAGAAGTGGGTTCAGAACCTGGACAAAGTGAGTGGCAAATATTCACTATAGAAACAGGTAATTGAAATGTAATATATTCACATGGTGAAATATTAGGCAGCAGTTAAAAGAAATACACTGGGATCTATATATAAAACAACACAGATAGGGTTTTAAAACAATGTTGAGCAAAAAAAGACTTAGACTTATACAACAAAACATCTATGCAGAATCTGAAACACACTGATATAAACAATAGTTTGCACTGTTTAGCTGTCTACATAAGTATATAAAATAGGCTGGAAGAATATTCAATGAATCAAAGATGGCGGTTCCCTCTCGGGACTGGGACCAAAGTGCTTGGTTAAAAGGAATTTAGTTTTATCTGTAAGTTTTTTTTTTTAAATAAAATGTCTAGAAACAAATATGGTAATTTGTTAATGGTAGTAAATTCTGGGTGTTAAAAAAATGTGTATTTGGTATATTATTCTCTGCACTTTTCAGCGTTAAAAAATTTCTCAATAAGAAAAACGGTGATAAGATAAAATAAATATTTTCCCAAAACACTTACAAGGAAATATTACAAAAGGCACTCACTGTTGTTAAGAACAAAGGGTCATTGTTACAAATTTCTTTAACAGAGACCAATCACTAAGATTATTTTTTAGCAAAATAATGATCTTAACCATTCAAATTACAAAATTACCCAATGGACCAGATCACTTACTTTTCCTCTTATTCCCAATTGGACTTGTTTTACACAATAACAAGTGGTAATTCATGCATATTAGAGATGCACAGGAAATGGAAGACACTTAGCACAAATGTCAGAAAATAATTAGAAGATGCTAGAAGCATCCAGTATATACTACAAAGTGATATAACAGCTTCCATAGGAATATGATGGTTTAAATTCTGTAAGAAAACAAATTGATGGACAGATTGCAGGGCACCTGTACTGTGGGCTTCGTCCAGGTAGTAGTTCTGGAGTTGTGATCTACATAATATGATCTTCCTCTTTCATCTTGTTTTTCTTCCCAACCTGGTGGTAATCCAGATGAAGTAGGCAAAAGCTAAAGAGATTAATAAGAGGAGAATTAAATATTAATAAGAAAGAATCTTTTTAAAAGGTCTACATCCCTTCTCCACTGCTAGCTCTCTTTAAAATGAACCATATTTTAAATCATATTTTAAAGCGTACAAAATAAAGTGTACAGCATTTCACTTAAAATAAACCCAGCAGAACAGACAATAATCATGAGAGTGATAACAACCATATGCTAAGTGCTTTACATGGATCCTGTCATTTAACCCCATACAAATCTTAATGAGATCATTGCTGTTATTGGCATTTTACTTAAGAAGTAAGTAGGAAGCTTAGAAAATTGAAGTAATTTCCTAATGGATACATTGCTAGTATAGAGCTAAGACTTGAACCCAGGCAGTTTAACTACAGTAATTATCACTCACAGGTGCTGAGTCAAAAGTTACCCCTGCCTTCTTTCTGTAAGGGCTGGGAAAGTGCTGCTTATTATAGTTTATTACTAACGACCAAAGAGGTTTGATTATTTCCAGGTTTACTTAAAATAGTCCAAGTCTGGTCTTCCTTTTGTCTTTTGAAACAGATTAGACTCGCCATGGCTTAGCCCGGCTCCCTAACGTGCCTTACACATAAAACCCATCACCGCTAGTCTGTTCACTAGGTACACCGCTCCTGATACACAGGAGGTGGGTGAACATTGCTGACAGTTATGATGAACTGTTAGACTACAAAATAATGGAATTCAAAGTTGCCCAGCTTTACAAATGTCCAACAGCTGGTGAGTAGAGAAATGAAATGTAGCAGATACATCTACACAATGGAATATTGTGAACTACTGAGACAGCGAACAACGTGGGTAAATCCCAAAAGGCCAGACACATAAGACTACGTATGGTATGATTCCACTTACAATGAAATTTCTAGAAAAGACAAAGCTGTAGCAACAGAAAGCAGATGAGTGGTTACCTGGGGTTGAGAGTAGGTATTGGGATTGAAAGAACTTCTGGGGTGACGGAAGGGTTCTTAAACACGATTGTGGTAAAGTTTGCACAACTGTATACATTTACTAAAACTCATTTTTATGTGCAATTAAAAATGGGTGGATTTTATGGTATGTAAATTATACCTCAAGAAAGCTGTAAAAACACCCTAATCAATATATTGAGAAGAAAAGACACAGAGATAGCTTTTCCAGTACATAAAATATAAATCATCTCTAGATTCTGCTTCTCCTCTGGCGCACTTAAGCTTGTTTCTTGGATGAATGCCTGTCAATCAGAAATTGAACAGTTTCACTCTATGGAGCACATTATAAGGTGCAGTGGGAGAAGGACCACAGATCATGGTAAGCAGGATCCAGTCAAAGGGAGGAGGCCGGACAAAGGACAAGAAGTGAGAGTAAGGCTGGTGAGGGCAGTCTTTCAGTGGCATCTACCCTCTTGTTGACGGTCAATACTGGTGGGGCCAGTTGCACAGGTGAGTGCCCCATCCTTCCCCAGAACAGCATCTATGCCCTTCTCTTAGCTCAGGGCCACCTTTGTAGATGGATGCGCTATTCTTCGGTCAAGGAATTTTGAGCCTCAGCCTTCCTCTGCTGGAACTTCCATAAAAGCAAAACCAATCCCTACTTTTCAAAATTAATATACAGGCTGCCAGTCAAAACTACAAATGCTTGGTGAAAAAAAGTGAGGAGGCCATTCCAAGTGGGGAAATGGAATGTGCGTAGACCCAGAAGAGGGAGAGAGTTAGGACACGGGGAGAGTCTGTGTGGAAGAAAGAGCACAGATGGGAAGGAAGGCAGCAGGTTTCTGAGGGTGGAGAGGAGAGGGTAGGCTGAAGGGGCTGGGAGCCTGGGAGCTTTCATTTGGTTAAAAAACAAGTGGGGGCCACGTGGGGAGGGAGACACTCAATGAGAGTTGAGCTGGGAAGGATGGAGGCTGGGAGACCAGAAGGGAGTGAGCAGTGCAGGCACGAAGTGTCAGGGTCTAGACTCCAGTCAAGGCTGTGGCTGGGATGCCACTAAGGAGGCAGCAGAAGCCTCGGCAGACTGGTGGACGCGAGACTGAAGGGAAGAGAGGGAAAGGGGACTGATAAACTCCAACCTGGCCACTGAGCCAGGACACCAGTGCGCACCTGACTGAGTGACTGAACCCTGATGTGACACCTCACGTACGGGGCAGAAACGGCTGCCAGATGCCATGGCTCATGTACAGAGCACTGGCGCTAGACACCATAACTCCGAATTGTGTGCAGCCTGCAGCAGACCACCTCCAGCCGTGCATCAACCGACAAGGCCGGGTATCACCCACAGTCCCCAGCACCCCCAGACTTGGCTTTCTTACTATGGGAGCGACAGTTCTCCTGTTTTTGACCTTAAAGGTCCTTCCTTCCCCATTTCTCCTCCCCTGAACTTCATCCACCACAGCCTAGATTCTGTGCTGGATCAGTTCCCTGTTGGCAGTCAAAAGCTCATACTCGGCGCTCCATGAAACAAAAGGTGTTGCGTTTTATATTTTTACTGATGACTGAGGGGAGAGGAGAAAACTCACCACAGGAAGTGTAGGCTGTTCCTCAAAAGTATAGGCTTGTAAGCTGCCTCTTCTGCTGGAATGATTCTTATGGGGAAAAAAAAAGAACAATGACAACTTTAGGTCTTAGATGTAAAGGTCTTTGAAGGGCAGATAAGGTAGCAGGGTGGATATGATGGAGCGTACAAAGAACGACCACTAGGAAGTGACCGTGGACACTGTATGCGAAGGCACTGAGCCTCTCTCAACACCACCACATGCTGATGACTTCCAACTTCCAGCTCACACTTCTCCGCGTGCCCTAGTCCTACACTGCAACCTGGATACTTCCTCTTGAATGTCTAACAGACACCCCTTCAGTGTGACCAAAACTGGATTTGGTTTTTCCCTGTCCATACCCTCTCAAACCTGTTCCTTCTTGGGTATTCTTCATGTCAGTGGGCAGTTCTTGAGTCCAGCAGCTGCCTAAGTCAGATATCAGTCAGTCACCTGGCTTCTTCCCCTCCCGTCCCTTACAGCCAGGTCAGTCACCAGATTCTATTCATTCTATTTATGACTAGCTCTCAAATACATTCCCCCTGGACTTTAGGTCATTTTTTTAAACTCCAAATTTTCATCATTTGTCACCTTGATTATTACTGTAGAAAATCCTAATAGATTGCCCTGCTTTGAGTCTTATTTCCTTCAATGTACTCTTCATATTATGTGTAGCAGCCGAAAGAGTGGTCTATAGTGCAGATCTCGTGACATACTCTCTAGCTCAAGGCCCTTCAGTGACTTCTTACAGTCACTAAGATAAAATCTAAAGCACAGAACACAACACTTAGGGAACCTCATGACCTGGCTTTTCCTGACAGCTCCAGCCACTTCTCGCCTCACAACCCACCCTCTGGACATTGCAGGTTACTTGTTTCCCGGAAATCCCATGATCTTTCTTTCCTTGCGCTTTTATATGAATGCTGTTGTCATACACCTGAAATATCTTAGTCTTGTTATTTAATGACATCAAAATTTATAGTACACATATAAATTGTGAGAATATCTATTGCAGTATTGTTTCTAACAACAAAGAACTGTAAACAATCCAAAGTCCATCAATAGGAGACTGGTGAAATATCTCAAAGGTTACTCGCACAATGGAATATGCCAGAGTTTGATGATTTTTTTTGTTGGTTTTAAAAGGAGTATATCTATATTCACTGAAATGGTCCAATGTCTGGGACAGAGAAAGTGAAGAAAGTAAGTTACCAAAAAGTGTGTATAAGATGATCTCAGGTTAAAAAATTATATACAAATATATGTGTGCATGCATGTTTATGAATACATAGACAATATTTATGACAATATATGCCAAACCATTAACAGTGAGTAAGGGAGCATATATTCAAGGTATATGTTAGAGGTAAGATGGAAGATTTAATTTTTATATTATACACCTCAATACTGTTTCAATTTTTAACCATAACCACACAATACTTTAAAAATAATAAATTGTTTTCAATAGGTAACGGATGCAAATAGTATAAAATTCAAAAGGTACAAAAGATATATGTCATGCACACTCTGTTTCTCTCTTCAAGCAATATTACCAGTTTCCTGTTTAGCTTTCAAAAAATATCATGTCCATATTTATTCTTGATCACTAAAATAATTTAAATAAATGTCAGTAAATCAAACACACTGTTCCGTACCTTGCTGTTTTTCACTGACCAATATCTCTTAGGGATTGTTCCATACAACTTATACATTCAAAGCCACTTCATTATTTTTGACGGCTGCATAGTATTTCATTGTATGGATGCCATGTATTACTTTTATAATTAAAAAAAATAGGAGGAAAGAAAATAGAATCTTTTGCAACTTATCAGCAAATCAATATAGCTTATCCTATAAGTCTTTGACTGACCTTCCCACTCCCCTGACAAAAACATAAAATGAAATGAATGGGAGACAGAATAGACAGATGGAAGAAAGGAGGGAAAGGCAGCAGGCAGGCAGATATGCTCTTGGACATCCACACAGGTATTCGCATAGAGGTGTTTACATGGGAGCTTCTCGAAGAAGGTGATGGAACAGAACTCATAAAGTTTTTCTGTTAAGGTCCAGACAGTAAATATTTTTTGTGAACCTTACAGTCTCTGTTACAGCTACTCAGCTCTCTTGATGTGGTGTGAAAGCAGCCATAGGCAATACTTCAACAAATGGACAGGACTGTATTCTAATGATACTTTAACTAGCATACAGTGCCTTGCGTATAGTCAGCCCTCAATAAATACTTACTAACTAAACGAAAAGCAGAGGAATTCCAACTGGAAATGACCATAGCATCCTCAGAGAATAATCTGTCTTCCACTGAAAGATCTCTCTTGACACAGATTAGAGAGCTAGCCACAAAGATCTCATCAGGGCAGTGTATTTTGGAATACCTGCTTCTGGACCTCATGGACAGCAATTTTTATAGCGGTTGCTGGGGTGAGAATGTCATCTAGTTCCTTGTTTAGTCAAAGTACATCAGCTCTCATTCATACATGGGTATTAGTGACATGTATGTTATAACTAAGAAGGTGAAGGGCAGCTCCTGACATCCACGACCTTTGCCTGGCCCTCATAGGCAGGATCAAGACAAATCGAGACCACGCTGTGATCATGCCCGAACACAGACAAAACATGAACGTTGTCCAAGCCACGAAATACCAAACATCTCCCCATCCTGGCCAATGTGACTGCTGCTCTTTTTTTTTCTTTTTCTTTCCTTTTTTTTTTTTTTTTTTTACTAATTACAGCTTTAGCCTCACTACAGATAAGATTTGAGATACCCAATCACAGAATTACCCTGCTTCCAGACAGCAACCAATGCAGAGCAAAGTGTTGATTCCTTAAATGCTCCTCAAAATCACCTAACATGAGCCCAAATCCTTTAAGTCTTTCCTAACATATTCTTACCAAGACACGGTGCGTGTTCTCCCCTGCTGAAACAAGTAATAAACCCAACTTGTTCAACTACAGGTGTGTTCCTGGTGGTCTTTAGCTAGAGAGCATTCACATAATGGACATTAGACTCTATGACCGTTTGGGTTATCCACAACTCTGCTCCATACTATTAGTGGGAATATTCGATAAATGAACATGCTATAAAGTCCTAAAGTCCCTAACACCTTATTACATGCCATTTAAGACAAGATTTTATGAAAAAGTTAGTTATTGAATGGAATAACATACAGAACATAAAATCCTCAAGCTACAACAAAATCTAAGAGCATCTTACTGAGCTGGATACTGGCTGGCTGGTGGCTGAATTTCCACAAGTAGTGAGTCTGGCATTCAAATCTTCTGCAAGATGAGTCTGAGCATCCAAGTTACTTGACGGTGGAAGTGATGGGAAGGCCTGATTGCTATACATGGCGGCTTCATCTTCCCTTATAATTTCCCAGCTCTAAAACGAACAGAACAAGCTTAAGCCACACATCCTTTAATCTATTGCTATAACATGCGTCTATCAATGAGAACTAGAAAATTATTTCTACCTCTGAAGACTCTCGGTTGTCAACGTTTTCTGTTTCCTCGGATATCTGCCGCCGGGTGGTAAATGCACGTTGCGCTTGCAGTTGAATGTTCCCGTTCTCGGCATCCGTTAGGTTGTCCCTGTATTGAAGTATCAAACCCATCAACCATGCTTGTAGACAGTTAAAAGGATACTCAAAGATTCTGTGATCCTTTAAAGAAATACCCATACTAGATCAGAATGTATTGTTTTTGGCCAAAGGCTATTTCAACATGCGTAGATTAAGTCGTGGGCATACTGGCACCTTCAGAGTACCTTACAGAGTCACAGTTTTTGTGAGAATGGGTAACATGTCTGACTCTGGTACTTTAGTTCATCACTGTGCCTAGGATAATGCTTGACACGTATGGGCACTCAAAAATATCTGTTGAATGGAGGAATATCTGAGTTTCATAAACAATTTCATTGTATTATTATTTTGCCCTGTTATGACAAGAGTAAAACATAAAGTAGCTCTAGAAAGTTCATAAAAGAGAAGCTTTAAGAGCTACATACACATCTTCATGAATCAGTCCGTAACATTTTCCAGAACTGATCTTAAGCCAAGAGTAAAGTTCTCCATTCATGAAAGCAGAGGGCAGAGTGAAAAATAGTGTAAGGACACCATAATTAAAAACTTAATAGATTATGGATTAAATAGTATCTGTTTTTGAGCATTTATAGTAATGGGCCTGGTCTGAAAAAAGGACAATAGTAAAGGCACCTCTGAGTTTAGGAAAGGTATAGTAAATCAGACTGAATACCCTTACCCCAGCCATTTATTAGTTATATTATTTTAAGTATTTGCATTTAATATAACTAGACCATCACATCAAGAATTCTGTACAAATATTTAATAAAAAAATTATTGTTAATTTATTTAATGCTATATAAGCCCAGGACAGTCAGAAGAGCAGCTCTTACTGTTGCTGGAGAAAACATAATTTTCACAGATGGTCCTAATGGAATGCTTGAGATTTTTTCCCCCACTAAATACTTGATTTTGGCTAGCTGAAAACAATATAAATCATAGTGAAAGAAATGTGATTCTGCTCAAGTCAGGCTTGCCATAATACTGAGATATGCAATAGGATAATTTTGTAGAATATTACAGTGTACAGTTTTGCAATCTATATGTCATCCCACAGAGATAAATGCTTCTGTGCCATGAAGAACCTGGATCACTGATTTGCTTTGGAAGGATCTGAGAATAGAAAATATCTATGAAAGTGCTTAACTATACCAGACACAAAATACCAAAGCCAAAAATCAAAAGGTTAAAGCACAAATAAGCAAAATTTTAAGTCTATGTCAAAAAGCAGAAAACTAAAGAAAGACTTCATAAGGCTATAAGGAAGGAAAAGTGGACGGACAGTTGACAATAAGAATGAATAATGGGAGAATCTGTAAATGTATATTTACAAACAGTCAGATGATAATAAAAGAAAAATGTCACTGAGGAGACGTAAATTAGAATACCCTGAAGGTCATTCTGTCCTTGATATGTGTACATGGGAAATCATGTATACATTGACCAGATTGGCAAATGGGTGTTTAACAAAAGACCTTTGTTATTGAGTCCTTTATATTTAAACATAATTTATACTTAAAAAATAGTGTACTGTGGAAATTAACATTTTATTATATTTTCGTAACAAACTACAAAAAGTCTTCAAGATTTTCTAAACCAATCTGAAAAATGTACTCTTTGTGGTGACATAATAATTAAAAACATAAACAACTGACAATGTATTAAAATAAAGAAGCAATTAGAAGGGTGATATTTGTAATACATAATTTTGAATATTATCAAATCATTTTTAAAAAGAAACAGGGAAGACAGCATTTTTAAAGCTCTAGGCCATAAAAATCCTGGTATTCTTATAGTTTATGGATCCCTATACTATTATGAATCTATCTGAGACATGACTTCCAAATGAAAATTAGTGGTTGAATGTATTCAGATTACAAATGTGAAAGCCATCATCACATACTGAGGGGTTGGTCTTTTCCACTGTGTTCTTCTAGATTCATGGTTTACATAGTAGGTCCTTCCAAGAACATCCTGCCTCTCTTCCCATCCTGGAGGTAGAGGAGAAGGTTCTTGTTGCTGCTGCAAATGGCAAGCAGCATCCGGTTGGTCCAAAACAACCCAGCCAGGCTAAAAAACAGAATGGTAACAATTAAGTTTATACTTGATTTTTTGCACCTTATAAATTATGCTAGAGAAAATTTAAAAGGAGATTTAGCTTATTCAGTTCCAGAAATTATGCAAAGACAGAATTAGCACATTATCAACTTTTAAGACCATCATATGAATATTTTATGATAGTAAGACTTTTTTTGCAAAATGATAACATTTATATTTTTCTTGAAATAGTTATAAAATTTTTCATTTTAAAACATACCTAATTAAAAAAAGGACAGAAAAAACTTTTAAATAAACAAACAATGGAAAGCACTGAGAAATTGAGAACCATAGCCTAAATCAGTGTAACCTTAGGCTATTCTCTAAATTATAAGCAAATGAATGAAGGGCAGGGATCATGTCATATTGGGCATTGTCTCTCCCACAGAGAAAGCACCTCATTTATAGTGGAAATCAATAACTATCTGAGACCTGAAAAAAAGTCAACAGATGAAGGTCAAACATGTAGAAGCATGACAGGGAAAAGCAAAAGATTTAGAAAGAATTGCTACAGTGAACTCTCTAGAGATTGAAAAGTCATTATGATCCTCTGGTCTGACTTTTCTCTTTCTCCTCTGGACCACGGAAAGGCATTTTGGTCAAGTCATAAAACAGCCAAAGAAAGAAAGTTTTGTTTTGTTTTGTTTAAATGCCAAGAAGTCACTGGAAATTTCCTCTGAGACTAGCAAGGGGCAAATATCCATCAGGCCTTAGCTGGGGTAGTTAGAGTAAGGAATTAATTGAAAAAGGTAGAGAGACTTAATGACATGCTTTTATACAGGAAACCTCATGACAGAAAAGGCAATAGGTTAAAGTTTCTACTAAATAAAGCATAAAAAAACTAGTGAAGAAAACTTAAAAATTCTCCTAAAGGAACAAAAAAGAAGTCCTGAATGAATGAAAAGACATCATATGATGTCGGCTAGGAAGACTCAATCCCACAAACGTGTCAATTCTCCCCAATTTAATCTATAAACTTACCAAGATTCTGATAAAACTACATTATGGATTTTTTAAAATAATGAGACAAGGCAATTCTCAAGTTCAAAAAGAAACACAAACAAGCAAGAATAACCAGCCTCATTCTAAAAAAGAATGAGGGAAGATTAACCCTAGCAGATAAAACATATTATAAACCACAATAATTAAAGTTGTGTAGCGCTGGTGCATGCATAGACAGACAGCTCAAGAGAATGGATGAGAAAGCCCAGAAAGAGACTCAACTTTATAGGAATTTAGTATATGATAAAAACATTTCAAATTTGTGAGAGAATAGGCAAATTACTTAAAAAAGGAAAAAATTTAATTTGGATTGCTACCTCAAACCTTATACCAGGATGTTGCAGATTGAAAAATATTTAAGAGTTAAAAAATAAAACCAAAATGTATTAGAACAAACGTTGGGAGATTTTAAAAATGTATTCTAAGAGTGGAAAAGCCATTTAATACGCCATCAAACCAAGAAGGCATAAAAGAGATTGATAAATCTGATCAAAACCCTCCAAATCTGTAAATGGCAAAAACTACTAAATCAAAGTGAAAAAAAAAATAAAATAAAGAACAAAAAACAAATGACAAACTGGGCAACATATTTGGTACTATAATGATAGGCAAAAAATAATTTCCTTGATATATACAAAATCTTTTTTTTTCTAGGCACTGGGGATCTGGCACTGAAGGGCTGTTGTGTGCCAGCCAGTTGACGGCTTAGAAGATGAAAGGGAATTCTTCTATGTTGGAAGGCTGGATCTGAAAATGAAGAGCCAGGGAGAAGAGCTGGGAAGGAAAGGAATGTTTTCTGGCAATACGGAGAGAAGGCTAGGGGTTTCTGCAGCCAGGAGAATCACTTCTGGCTGGCTCTGTGGGAGGGTCATGGACTGAGGCAGAGCAGAAGGTGAGGGGTAGGGAGAGAGGAAGACGGAAAGAACTATTCCAGGAAAAGGGATCTGGATGGGAAGTAAAACTGACTTTTTCTTTCTTAGTCTTCTTTATTTTTTCCTTTTTACTCTTCTATGGGAACTGTCATCTCTTTAATTTTGTTTCTTTCTTTTTATTGCTCAACTCCATTTTCTTTCTTCCCTCTATCCTCTTCTTTTCTCTCCATCTATTCCTTTTCTATTCCTTTAAATGATTTTAATATGGGATCACACATTTAAAAATTAGTCTTGTATCTATTAAATTGGGTTTTATTTCTCTGGTCTCAATTTCAAAAGCATGTGAGTTGAATTTTTATATTTCATTCTCTTGGGAAAAAAAGATTAAACTTTAAAAAATATAGTCATTAATTATTCTGCAGATTAATGAAAGTTATTAATAAAAGAGTTCTAACGACTGCTGTAAAGGATTGTAAAAATATTCGGAGCTGGGAAAATGGTACCAGAAGAATATTTCTTTAAAATCCTCTTAAAAATTTCTCTTTTAAATACCTACTTATTGAATTTATGTTATTCAAGTAATCTTCAGAAGGAGGGTATAAAAATTAATTTAATTAAGGGCCTTTTAAAAAATCCTGTTTCAAGGTTGAGAAAATGTACGCTTGTACATTTGAACATTGTTTAGAAAGACTGAGTTTTCATTTTTTGTATGGAATGCCTCTCTATTAAACATGTATCAGCTAATATTCTTCACAAAATCATTTTTTAAGAACCAATGAATGTTACTTAATTACTAACCTCGAAGCTAACATGCAATTGCTCACAATTTAACAGAGTCAAAGTGGGTCAGAAAGAAAGCATTCAGAGCTACAACAAATGTTATATTATATGTTCATCTTGTAAAATACATACAACTAAATCTAAAGTTGCAAAGGGTACAAAAAACAAATGTTACATAATTATCTAGCACAGCCACATTTTATCATACTAAGGAATACAAACGGCCTGAGAGTGAGCCTCCTTTGAAAATTACAATTGTTTTCTTTAAATAGCAGAATTCTATGTATTCAGTCACAAACTCGGTGTCAAAGGCAAGACTTCTCTGGTCATTAGCTACACAGAAGATAAATAAGCACAGATTCATGTGTTTGAATTCCTAGGGCCTTTCATAAATAAACTCCTACACGCTTACATCTGCTGAAATTATAAGGTGTATTCTGAGGGAATTCAAACATTGAGACATGAGACCACAAAACGAAACGAAGCAGCTCTACCCACAGAAACTGAACTGTGAATAAGCTACCTGTGATACGTGTATGTGGGCAAAACTTGGAGCAGGTTACCAAATAATGAAATGCTGTTAAATTTTTTTTAAGTTACTAAATAAAGAATTTTCTTTCTTCACAGCAGACATCCTTCATTTCAAACAGAATTCCATTATGCAGGATACCCTGGGCACCAAAATGCCAGGTAGAGCAACTTCTACCCGATAAATATCCACAAACTTTAAAAAATCATTATTTTAACATATATCAGAGAAAAACTAAAAACGAAAAAAGTAATCAAATAAGGGAATATAGACTTAAAAGAGGATACCAAGTTCTTTGATGGCCAAACAGAGGGCTGACTATATTCTATGATTTAAAGGATAAAAGTTCTGTCCTTTTATTGTTATAGATTCCCCCACAAAGTAAAATCTCATTAGTACATATACAAAATTCCCAGCGAGCTTTGCTGCAAATGCACTGCTGGTTCGCAAGCTTTCTTTCTCAAGGCATGTGAGTGTGTGAGGTAGAGCCCAGCCCTTGGGGAGGTCCCTCAGCTTTACAGTTCTTCTGGAGACATAAGCAGACCCTCAGTCAAACAGGCATGACTGTTGAGGAATGCACACAAACTAAACCCTTCAAAGCAAACCGCTGCCAATACACTGTGTGCTTTCAGTAAATATTGCAGAGTAAGATGCAATCTTTTGATGATAATGTTCCTTCACTGGGAACCTCAAGGGGCAGGTGTTTTTGTCTCCTTTTCAAATCATGAATTCTTCTGCTAGCAGAAACCCTACAGCCCATCTGGTACAATCCTGTCACTCTGCAAATGAAGAACCTGAGGTTCAGAGAACTTCAAAGTGGCTGAACTTCAGTGAACTCACACAGTCATTCGGCTGGCTAGTTGCAGAGCTTGCGACTAGGATTCCAATCTCTAGATCCCCGTCCACTTCCCTTCCAAATACGCGCTCTCTGCCTCTTCTTCACTCACCCCAGAGGCGTGGCTCTGCCCCAACCCTGGACTGGGACTTCCTCTTAGCCTGTTATCCATGAAGACTCTTAAATTCTATCTGCTCCAAATAAACGTGGCTTTCTATCAGATCACTTGAATTCTCTCCCCCTCTCTCTTTCTCTCGTTCCCTTCCTTTCTTATGAGCAACCCCCACAACCAGGAAAATTAAAGTAACAGGAATTACATTTTATAAAAGAGTACCTAATTAGTAGAGTCTCCTCAAATTTCCACATATTTAACTTACGAATACTAAATTTAATAAATGGGAAGATAACATAGTTTTAGAAAACTTTAAAAAACTAGGAACAGTTAATGACTTATACAGTAAATGCTTTCATTTATGAACATTGTATTCTCTATTCCCTAAGAAAGCCTCAATAATGGCCATTCATTCTAAAGAAATATCCTTAGAGGAAAAAAATGGTTAATGAATGCTTGGGTGAAATAAACAAATGTCCAGGTAAACAATTTTTATTGCACACATTAATTTCATTGAATAAAGTTATTTTCTCTTGAGAGTATAGGAAAATAAGAAATCAGATATTGTCTTTTTAGTTTAACCAAATATTTATAAAATCTCACCTCTAATTCCTCGGCCTGTTCTGCGTTATCTTCTTCTGAGCCGTTGGTTTTAGGTAAATAAGTCATTTTTAATCTCAGATAACCTTTAACTCTCGATTTATGACTGTAGAAAAGAAAAAATTATTCACAACTTTAACAGTAGGAAGAAAAGCATTCATTTAAATAAGAGTTTATTGAACACCCACTAGCTACTAGAGGAGACTCAAAGATGAGTTTCGGTACAGAAGTTATCTAGGAAAAGGAGTAGATGGCAGAGAAAAAGGAACATACATAAATAAATTGTTAGAACACACATAACCTGTTATGAGATAGATAAGATACTAAGGAAGTTTAAGTGAATGATTTGAGAACTTGAAAGAGAAGCTGGCATTTGAGTTGCTACAAGTTGGGGCTAGAAGACTGGGGAAGATTTTGAGCTGTGGCAGTGGAGGGAAAGGCACATGAGTGGAGAGAAGAGCAGGAACAAGGACACAGAAGGGAAACCTGGGCTGCAGTTAAGGAAACAGCAGTAGTTCGGCTGGATGACAGGACACATGAAGGAAGTGGGGTGGTCCAGATAATGAGGTCCATGAGAAGAGAGACAACTTTAGATTTTATTTTGCTTATGCTGTGAAGCCATGGAATTTGGGGGATAGGGAAAGGCATCCTCAGAGATGTGCTTCAGGGATACTCATCTAGCCATCTTGTCTAGGATGAGAGAAAAGTGGGGAGCAAGACCTGACAACTGTCTGAAACCTACTATCTTTCTTTCACAGCTGTTTGTATCTGTCATACACTAACTTACCTAATCTGTTTTCATATTGGATCACCTCTTTGAATAATGAGTTGTCAAAGCTAACGGTTGCTGCCCACTGTATTAATATTTAAATGTTTTTAAAAACCTGTCTTTCTTAAGCTTCTAACTTAAGACTTAACACTGTCTATCGCCCATACCAACTGGAGTGTCCTATTCACTTAGGAAATCCTTGCTTGCCCTAGCTTTCTATATAGATTTTTTTTTGGTGATTTTACAGACATCACTATGTAACCAATTACGCTTTCATTCTGTCTTCAAGAGATACTCCCTACCCTTGTCTCCCTTAATCTTTTTAGTTGTTCTCCATTCTGTGCTTATGGGTTTGGAAGGTGTACCCTTCTCGAGTGGTCAACAAAATCCCCGATGCTTATTTCCAAGGTCACCACCATGGCTCATGTCTCCATGTTTAAGGGGGTGGGAACACTCTGACTTGTTGCTATAAAAGATGGATATAGAAAACTTGCTCAGATAATGTTTTATAGAAGAGTTTCTTTACAATGATGTGTTTTATGTCTTTCCAACTAGATAAGAAGTCCGTGGGCTTGGACTCAATGGGCCTCAAACAGATCTACGAATGTAGTACATTTTCTCTTTGAATAAAGTTTCTTTTGCACTTGCAGTAATATCCAGTGCAGAAAGAATACGTAAATTGTTATATTTTCTAAAGAGAAAGATATTTTAGAAAGCATTTGACAAATTGAAGAGCAGGCTATTACGGCAATCAAATAAGAGAAGAAATATTTATTTAGTTATTCTTGGTATGCAGACGTCACAATCAGTCTAAAATTAAAGGAAGAAAAGAGATTCATATTCCAAGACTTCTACAGAAATTAAATATGCAACTTCTCTTATAGAAAATATTAACATAATCAGAGAGCACTGTCCCTTTTATTTTAATATTTACATCACAGGATAATTAAAAATTTCTTTTTTTTTTTTTTTTGCTGAGGCCCTGAGCTAACATCTGTTGCCAATCTTCCTCTTTTTCCTTGAGGAAGATTTTCCCTGAGTTAACATCTGTGCCAGTTTTCCTCTATTTTGTGTGTGGGACACTGCCACAGCATGACTGCTGATGAGTGGGGTAGGTCTGCACCTGGAGAACCAAACCTGGGCCACTAACGTGGAGTGCATTGAATTTAATAACTAGGCAACAGGGCTGGCCCCTAAAAAGTTTTTAATGTAAAATTTTACTGAGTTCTCACAGTATATTTTTCAAATACATTTTCTAGTTTTAAAAACAAGAGAAATACTGTTGTTTTCACAGATGTCCTTCCTCTGCTTAACTTTGATCTTTTTGACAGTAAATCCATACACGTTTGAACAGATTTTACTTGACTATGTGGTACAGAAGATCAAAGGGAGTTTTATTTGCAGCTTAAACAAAAAATTTTGACAAAAATCAAGTAATTCATTTTAGGAAATGGAATTATGAACATGCTCTTTGGGTTTTAAATTCGAGTCTTTGCTCATGTTATTTTCTTTAAATATTTGAGTTTTCTGAAATACCTTTTTTTATTAAAGTAGACAAAATGTAGTTAGGTTTTTCTGAAAGTGGCTTTGTGTATGTCAAGTTGGATATTAGTTTTAGATGAATTGATGTTTGTGATTTTTTACAGCATACTATGACAATATTACATATACTTTAGATATAAAATAAATACAAAATAATGACAAATTTCAGCCTTCTAGTCTGATAAATATTAGGTGGACAAATCTTTCCCAAAGGGGTATGATCACTGTTCTGTATTTCTAGAATTTTTTTGTACTGTGCATATATTATTTTTATCAGACATAACAATAAAGCTATTAAAAATAATATAATATTATATATGTAATATTATCTAAGTAATATAAATAATATTTAGAAGTAGCTTATTTACAAAGATTTAAACCTTGAAATTCCAAAGAGGCTACTATAAGGCATAATGAAGAAATAAAAAAATTAATATGTTATTATTTTATATTTACTGACCTTCTTGGGTGAAGAACAAAATCCTTAAATGTGTATGGTCTCTCCATTCTTGGGTTTTCTGTCTAGAATAAAACAGTGGGTTTTCAAGAAATATCTATAACACCAAAAATATGTACTTCTCAAGAATATTCATGAGCTATGACCTAAGGCATAATTGAAACAAGAAGTGAGAAAAAAGTAGCTTTAGCTTATTAAACGATTACAGCTGGTAACTTGACCGTGCTTTCACTTTCTCGCACCATGAGAATTACAGCCTGCATCACAGCTCAGTCTAAGACTAGCTCAAGAGGTGCGCTGTGGAGCCACAAGGAGGGCAGGAAGTGGAAAAACAGCAGAGAGTGGTCAGTATGTTGGCACCCCAAAGGAATATGGAATATGTAGGACGTCAGCAAGTTGCCTCGGTTAGAGCATAGAGACAATTCTAGGAGAACAAAGTAAACAGCCTGGAAAGTCAGATTGGATTAAATACATTATTAAAAGCTTGTGATCTCTAAAGATTGTATAGAACCAATAAATATCTCAAAAGACTGATAAAGAAGTACTATTTCTCTTTCTTACCAAGTTCAACAGAACTTTGGTTTTATTATCCTTTACTTCTCTGTTGCATTTTGCATTAACTATCCATTCAGTCTTAAAACTCATTTCTTAAATTCTCATAACATTATTTTACTTGGTCCTTTTCCTGTCTCTCCTTGTCCGTCTTCTCTTTCTCCTCTGACAGACTCACGTTGACTAAGGTTCAGTGTTTGGCTTCAGTGCTCTCATCTCTCTTATTTGGACAGCCCATCATCCTCAGAGATTCTGCTGTTACCTCACAGAGATAACTCTCAATCCTTCTGCTCCCTATTCCCTACACAATTTATTTTCAAATCTCTGTCAGCTGTCCACTTACAGCTTTCATTTTTCCTCTTTTCTATTGAAATTCAATATGGCAAAAAAACAACGTTATCATATTTCAAAACAAAATGGCTTTCCCTCCTAACTTTTCTACTTGAGACGCCACCCTTATCTCCCAAGTTCAACCTGTATTATCTTTATTTTTTGCTTATTTTTTTAACCTCCATACCAGAAACTTGGTCCAATAATGTTTTATTACGAAGTGTTTCCTGAATCTGTTTTCCTCCATTGCTATATGCTTGGTCCAGATTCAGCTTCACGCCTATCTTGTTATAAACCACACTAGTTTCCTTCGGTAAGCCTAGGCTCTCTCCATTCTAGTTATTCAGTAGAATAACTCCAAACTGATCTTCCTCAAACACTGCTTTCATGATGTCAACAAACTTCAGTGGCTCTCTTTCTTACTGGGGTTCATGTAAGGAAATCTTGAAGACAAAACTAAAACGGAAAACTGAGATGAGTTTTCAGAAAAAAACACGCTCAAAAAATAATAGCAGTATATATTTTATAAATAAGATATTTACATTAGCTATGTTGTAGATTTGTAAGTATTTATTAAATTAAAAAGAATAAATACAAAACGAAAATCATGGACATCTATACCAACCGGTAATGGGTAAAGAGGAACGTCCACTTGGCCTAGGAAATCATCTCTTGTCTACAAGAGAAAGAGGAAAAAAGGATTAGTAATATGCTCAATCCTTTTAGAAGATTTTGATGAGCTACTGCCATAATTCATAAAAAATGTAGACTTTTTTTTTGTTTAATCCTATGCAATATCAATGGGAAATAAAAGGTAATATGGTACAACTTCTAGTAATGGCAGAATAGAGTGTATTAGATTGATCCTTTTGCAGACAATAACTATGAACTCTGAAAAAAATATAAAAACAACCATTTGAAAGCACCATAAAGTGACCAAAAGCGAGCAGAAACTGGAGGGGAGTCAATCTTTGAAAGAAGAAAGTGTACTGGGTAGGGTTCATATTTATATGGCTTTTCACCTGGTAGTACTCCACAGTTCATACAGTGGAGTGAATAGAACTTAAGTGGAAATACGAAATCTTACTCGTTTGAGGAGTCAAAAGACCTAGTCTGAGGTTAACAGCATAACTGGAAAGTGAGGGGGACAATCCCTGAAAGGAAGAAGCCACAAGAGTCCCTCCAAATCTATATATAAACTCTACCCAACTTCCTAGCTGATCCCTGAAGTGCATATGTGAAAGGCAACAGGTAGAAGGCGAAAGGACGGAGCACAGATTTCAGTTGACATTCACCTAAGGGGAAACAGCATCTTGGAGTTCAGCTAAATTAACAACTTCCTAGAACAAAAATCAATACTTTTCAGGGAAAGATAAAATTCATTGTCTCCAGCAAGTACAATACATATTTGTTCCATATACAATAAAAAACTACTAAACATGCAAAGAAATATGACCCAGTATCAAAGGAAATGTAATTAATAGAAACTGACCACAAGATGAGCTAGATCTTGGAATTAGCAGACAGGGAAATTAAAGCAGCTATTATAAAGATGTTTAAGGTCTTAAAAGAAAAATAAGGTCATAATAATTGAATGTATGGTGAATCTCAGCAGCAAAATGCAAACTTTGAAAATGAATCAAATGTGTATTTTAGAACTGAAAAATGTAATATCTGAGTTAAGGATCAGTGGATGGGCTTAACATATGATTGAAGATGACTGGAGAAAAATTCTGTGAACTTGAAGATATATCAATAGAATTTATCTAATATGAAAAATAAAGAGGACTTGTGGAAAAACATCAACCAGTCTAATATATGTGTAACTGGAGTCCCAGAAAGAGAGGAGGGAGGGAGGGTGGGAGAGAGAGGGAATGAATGAATATAAGGCAGAAAAGTATTTGAAGAAAAAGCAGCCACCTTCCCCAAACGTTAACATCTCACATAACCATAGCACAATGATCAAAATCAGGAACACTATTAACTAACCTATAGACCTTACTCAGATTTTGCTAATTGTCCCACTAATTTTGGTTCAGGGCCCAATTCAGGATCACATGCTGTATTTAGTTGTCATGGCTCCTTAGTTTATTTGAATCTGGAAAGTACCTCAGTCTGTCTTTCACAATCTTGACATTTTTGAAGAATACTGGCTAGTTATGGAATACCCCTCAATTTGGGTCTGTCTAATGTTTCTTCATGGTTGAATTTAGGTTATGCATTTCTTTTGCAAGAATTCTATAAAAATGATGTTGGTGCTCTTCTCAGCACATCACATCAGGAGGCAATAAACACTGGAATCTTATACATTATGGACAGTTAAGGACCACTAAATATTTGAGGAAAATCTGTAACATGAACAACAGAGACCTAGACCAAGAACAGACAGAAAGAAGGGAGTCAAATAAATAAGAATCAAGTCAGACTGCAGGAGAAATACTTCAGAAAAACTATAATTAATATTCTTAGAGATAAGAGATGAAACATCTGTCAAACAAAATAGGAGACTATAAAAATGAAGTAATTAGAGAGCCAGCAGTGATGGTCTAGTGGTTAAAGTCCAGTGCTCTCACCACTTCAGTGGCCTGTGTTCACTTCCCAGTTGTGGAACCACACCACCTGTCTGTCAGTTGCTGTGCTGTGGTGGTGGCTCACATAGAAGAACTAGAAGGACTTACAACTAGGATATACAACCATGGACTGGGGCTTTGAGGAGAAAAAAAAACCAGGCAGATTAGCGACAGGTGTTAGCTCAGGGCAGGTCCTTCCATGCCAAAAAGAAAAAAAGAAAAAGAAAAAGAAGCAATTAGAGAATAAGGAAGAGCTTTCAGAAATTAAAAATATAACTAAAATAAAAAGTTGAAGATAGAGTTGGAAGATAGAGTAAAAGAAATTTCTCAGAAAGTAGAACTAAAAAACAAAAGACTATAGGATTCCCCAAATAAGGAAATTACAGGATAAATTTTAAAAGTCAACATCTAAACAACAGGCATTCCAGAAAGAAAAAGGAAAATGGGGGAAATTATCAAAGAAGCATTTTGAAAAGCCTTCCTTGAACTAAAGGACATGAATTCTGAGAGTGAAAGGCCCCTCTACACGTATTAGGCATGAAGAAAAAAGTCATGGCATGGTACCTCATTGTGACATTTCAGTGCACCAGAGATAAATTCTAAAAGCTTTGAGACAGACGAAACAGAGGATACACAAAACGGAAAGACAAGAGAATAATGCCTCCAAAATTGTGTGAGGAAAATATTTCCTACATAGAATTCTATACCCAGCCAAACTATGTTTCTCAATAACGAAGGCAGAATAAGGACATTTTCAGATATTAGTGTTCTTAGGAGGATAATGGAGGACATACGTCACCAAAATTAGGGAGTACACCATGGTAAGAAAAGATGCAGGGGATTCAAGACAGGAGAGAAGCCAAGAGGATTCCCAGAATGATGGGGAAGGGAACTCTCAGAATAACAGTAGTGTAAGACCTACAGAACAATGAGTGCATACTGGAGCAGGAAGATGGATAGCTGGAAGAGAGATGTTTCTAGAAGAAGAAGAATAAGGTTTTGTGAGAATTAAATGAGAAAATATACATGAAGTGCTTTGCATAATACCCAGCATCCAGTGAACATTCAACAAATGTCAGCTACTGTTACATTTGAAATGCTGGATTCTATAACAAAATCCTTACTCCCTTCCCCCTGGACCAGTCTGTGGACATTTCAAACAGGTACATATAATAAAAAGAGCATGGCTGGAGACTGAAACCGAGAAAATTAGCTTAGTTTACATAAGCTGGTGATAATTTTTGAAACGGACAAGTTAGCTTTTAATTATACCGTCAAGGCTGTGCTATGGTATGTTTCCTTATTCTTGTTTTTATCACAAGTATAAATATGATCTTTAAGAAGCTATAAGTAAGGAAGTAAAATACAACAAAATATAGTAAAATCTCAACCAGAATGACTGAGGAATAAAATATTTTGGTTAACTGGATTATCTAACTTAGCTTTAAGCTTAACCAGATAAATAAATAAAACATTTTTTTTTGGCTCAGTCTTATTGAATAGGCTTGCCCTTAGTAAACTGAATACACTGATTATCTGTTTGATGATTCATGATCTTGATGTGCTTCAAAAACATGGCTGTGGTCAATTATCTCTAGAGTAACACAGGTATAGAGCAGGGTTTCTCAACTTGGGCACTATTGACATTGAGCCAGATAACGTTTTGTTGTTGTTATGGGGGCTGTCTCATGCATTGAAGGACGTGTGGCAACATCCCTGCCTCTACCCACTAGATGCCAGTAGCCCTCCTCCTCTTGCACTTATGACAACCAAAAATTTCTCCTGGCATTGTCAAACGTCCCCTGGGTGAAAAAATTGACTGTGGTTGAGAAGCACTGCTAAAGAAGGTATAAAACAGAATATCCCAAACAGTGAGCAAGACTCCCTCACTTCTCTAAATAACAGCTTTATTGAAACATAATTCACATACTATATAGTTCACCCACTTACAGTGTACAATTTTAGAACATTTCATTACCCCCAAAAGAAAACCCATATCCATTAGCAGTCACTCCCCATTTCATCCCTCTCTCCCTAGCCTTAGGCAACTACCAATCTACTTTCTATCTCTATGGATTTAACTATTCTGGACACTTGATATAAATATAATCATATAACATGTGGTCCTTTATGACTGGCTTCTTTCACTTACCACAATGTTTTCAAGGTTCGTTCACGTTGTAGTAAATATCAGTACTTCAGTCCTTTTCGTACTGTTGAATGTTACATTGTATGGATATACCACATTTATCCATTTATCAGTTAATTGACATTTAGGTTGTTTTCATTCTTTGCCTATTATATATAATGCTGCTTCGAACATTCAAGTACAAGTTTTTGTGCTGACATACGTTTTCATTTCTCTAGGGTATATACTTAGGAGTAGAGTTGCTGGGTCATATGGTAACTCTAACCTTTTGAGGAACTATCAGACTTTGCAAAGTGGCTGCACCATTTTACATTCCCACCAGCACTGTGGGAGGGTTTCAATTTCTCCATATCCTTGCCAACACTTATTATTACCTATCTTTTTGATATAACCCTCCTAGTGGTTGTGAAGTGCTATCTCATTGTGGTTTTGTTTGCTTTTCCCTGACGGCCAATGAAGTTGAACATCTTTTCATGTGTTTGTTGTGCTCCTTATTTCCTAAAACCTCTTAACGTATACATCTTCCCTAGAGAGTCAGTCTCTACAGCAGAGGTGGTACTTGGTCACTATGGAACAGAAAAAAACATCTCATCTCACATATTGCTCCATATTCCTTGTTCATTGATTGCAATTTGTGAACAAAAATCCAACATAATAAAAATATCCTTGTCTCCAGAAATTTAGGTATACAAAAATACATTTAAAAAATGTCTTCTAATATATCTTCCTTACATCTTCTTTCTTTAAGATAAGTGATCTGAAATGAATTTCTTAACTTCTACTTAAAATGAAACAATACTAAAGAACCATATTTCTAACATTAGAAGAACGAACAAATTTTCCAAACTAAAAATCAATACGTATGGTCTGAGGAGATGGAGAGTATGAAACTGGGAACTAACCTGGAAAGTCTGGGACATATGGTTTCTATAAATATAGGACAATTAGAGGTTCTTT